TCTCTCTCTCTTCTCTCTCTCCTCTCTCACACACACACACACACACACACACACACACACACACACAGCTGGGTCCTTGATGGGAGCATGCTCCAATGCCTCTGCTCCCTGTGCACTCGGCCCGGCAAGCCCATGTTATTTTTGGGTGTCACTTGCTCTCAGGAGGAGGGGAGAGGGAGGGGAACTGTGTTTTATGGGCCAGGAAGCCTCTGTGCTCAGGGCAGGAAGAAGGCCCCACTCTGATACAGTCTTCTGCCCACGGAAGGGACGAGCCAGCGCTCTCTGCGAACCGGAGGAGAAGCCCGCGGCTTGGCCTTTCGGGGGAGGGGATCTCAACAAACCCATGCAGGTCAGAGGCTGCTTCCCAGCAGTCTGTGCTCCATGCTGGGCCACCCCAGTGCACCCTGCCCACCGCAGGCTTCGGCGTCTGGACTGCTCTCTGCCCTGGGGGTGCGGGAGGGGGCTGCCTGGGTCAGGCCTTGCCATTTAGTCGTTGCCCCTCGTTGTCCAACCCCCAGGGTCAGCAGAGCTGTGGGGCCCAAGCTGGTACCAAGCAGCCTACCAGCTGTCAGGTCAGCTGTCGCAGATTCTGGGCCTCAGGAAAGACAGCGGGCAGGGCCTCCACAGCGCCTGTGGGTCCAGCCTCTGCGGCTCTGCCTGGTCTTCTGTCCCCATCCTGGGTGGACAGGGGGTGACCCTGCAGCTAGAGATCCCACCTGTGGCCCTCATGGTCCTCTTCCAATGCATTGGGAAATGGCAGGAGCCTCCCCCCCTTCGCCCCCTGTGCCAGGCATGATGCTGTAGATGTTTTTTCATTTAATCGTTCAATCTCCCAATGACCCTGTGAGATTGGAATCCTCATTGACTGACAGCTCTGAGGCAGGTGATAGCAGAGTTGTGCTGGGCAAACCGGGGCCTGAATCACAGCCCATGCCAGGCTCTGTACGTGTGGCCATCAAGCCATAAAAGTCGTTGATCGGGGCAGATATGGGTGGGTGGCCTCCTTCCTTCATCTCCCTGGCCTCCCGGCAGCCCCAAGGACAGCAGCAAGGGGAGCCCAGGTCATGGCAGGGGAGAAGGTCCCCAGAAAGGTCGAGTCAACTGCAGGCCACTGACTTTGAAGGAGGCCAGATGACCACAGTCAGTTGTGCAGGCTCCAAACCCACTCCCTCTGCTTCAGGTGGCAGTGAGGG